AGCAGCTGGGAGACTCGGCAGCGATGTGGGGGCCTAGCAGAGATCGGTCCCTCCTGTGCAGCCGCAGCGGCCGAGCTGGGGCCTGCGACACTGTGTGCTTTGCTGTGCCCGGGCAGCAGGTCTGTGTTTGGGATTGGGGTCTACGCTGCAACTTACATGCGCCCGTCCCCCTCAGCCGGCTGCCCACCAGCCAGCTGCGGTGCTCCGGCCCAGCCAGGCCGCCTGAACTTGCCAGCTGGGGATGTGCCCCCATGGGTGGGAGCGGTAGTGCGTGACGGCTCACGGGTCAGGCTGGAGCAATCGGAGGCAGGGGCCTGCTCTGCCAGGGGAAGCGCTGGGAGCTGTGGCCCAGGCTGCCGGGGGCGTGCAGCAAAGGGCAGACAGGCAGGGAACATTGCCCCCTGCTCCGGGCACAGCTGGCAGCAGCTGTAGGGAATAGCAGAAGAAGCTGCCCCGGTGCTGTGCCAGGCTGCTGGCTCGATGCCCCACCCCACCCAGCCGGAGCTGTCTGAGCCCACGTGAGGGGGGGGGTGCTGGGGAGCCCCAGCCTTGCCCTTTCCGGGCTCCCGTCCTGCCCTGGGTCCCCTGCCCCAGAGCTGGGTGGAGCGAGGCAGTGAGATGACAGGGGGAAAAGAGAGGGGCAAGGAGACGGAGCAGAATGAGGATGCTCTGCCACCTCCACCTGAAGCCGCCCAGATGCAGCTGTCTCTGGGGGGGACCGCACCACGTTACAGCCCACCTGCCCCTGGGCCAGTCTGTTGTGTAAGGCTCTGCCTGGCAGGCACCGGCTGCTGGAGTCCCAGCCCAGCTCCCCCGCCCGGGACTCAGCTCAGCTGGGAAGGGCACAAAGGAGCGGGGTCCCAGCTTTCCCCCACAGTATGAGCGTATGGCATCACAGGGCAGCTTGCTCCTGTTGTCAGGGCGAGCTCCCAGAGGTGGGGGCCAGACCCGGCTTGCATGAGAGCTTGCAGGTGGCTGCCCGAGTCCCATGACTGCCTAGCAGGGAGGGAGGTGGCAATGTCCCAGCAGGCTCCTGTCTCGTGCTGTCCTGCCCCCCCGCAGCAGCGCTCAGACAGGACGCAGGGCCTGGCTGGTCCCAGCTCTGGCTGCTTACGTCTGCATTGAGGCCTCAAGGGCAGGGCTAGGACAGCACCTGCACTCTCCTCTGTTGTCCCCGGGCAGCCACGCGCCTGGGGCTGGCTCTGCCCCTCCTCCCCACTGCAATTCAGGGGCACGGGTGGGGCAGGGATGGACGCATCAATCCCCCTTCTCAGGCTGCCCTCTGGCGCCTATCAACCACCCCCGGGTGCAAATCCAGCAGGGACGAGCTGAAGGGCAGGGTCACTGCCCCCAGTCCCATACCGGGCTGGGGGGTGGGAGCAGACGGGGACCAGGCAGGTGCCCAGGGGCAGAAGCGAGTGCCTGATTGAACCTGGAGTGCAAAGTTCCCCGCTGGGCCCTGAGCGCCGTGTGCTGCCACGTGTGGGTGCGTGTGCAGGCGTGTACGCAGAGCAGCCACACCGTGGGGAACAGGCTGTCTCCATGCAACACTCAGGGTGGACACGCTCCGACGCTCCCGGAGCAGCGTGGTAAGAAGCAGACGCCATGGCAAGAGCGCAGGCGGCTGGTGGTGGCTACAGCCCCCACAGCGACAACGGGCTGCCCAGGTGCCCCCACCCTCTTGCAGCTCTGATCCAGCCCCAGCCTGACAGCGCAAGGTGCTGCAGGGAGGTTGGCTCCTGGCTGCCAGGGGCAGTCACGGCGCGGACCCCTCCCACCAAGCAGCTCCCAGGGGACCCTGGTTCCCCGGCAGAGCAGCTCGAGGTGCCCAAGCTGAGCAGAGGAGGCATCAGGAGTCCTGCCACCCGGTGCCACGTGCCCCGTGTAGCGCAGGCTCTGTGAGCTCCCCTCACCCCAGCTGGGAGATGAGCGCGGGTCCCTATCCGAGCCCCCGTCATGCATGATGCAGCCCCTGGCGCAGGCCGAACCAGCCTCCCCCGACGGTGTCTCCAGCAGCCGGCGCAGCCTGGCCCAGCCCCGGTTACGTCACCTGGCTCCTGTTCCTGGCGAGGGCGAGCCGGGCACTCAGGCAGCACAGAACGGGCTGTACTAGGCCCGGTGCCAGGGGCAGGGAGGGGGCATGCGGCTGCCTTGATTCGCTGTATCCCCAGCTGGGCCCACCCTTAGCACGTGCTGCCTGGCTCCTCGGTGCCCCTCGCTCCCAACCCACCTCCGGCAGTGACTGCTCCCCGCTGCATCCGCCCAGCTGCCCCCACCCGCCACCCCCCAGGCACCATCAGGCACCTCCTGGCAGGGGTCAGAAGCAGGAGGCAGGGTCCTGGCAGGGAGGGATCGGGGCCCAGGCGGAGCAGAGGTCTGTGCGAGCCTGGCGCTCTCTCCCGGCTCTGTGCGGCAGAGCTTACATAACAAGCGTCATTGTTCAACCACGTCTCGGGAACATGCACACGCAGCCAGGCTGGCGTGCCCAGAGCAGGGCCCGCTTGGGCGTCCCAGCAGGAGCCCATCGCGGGAGCTGGGTGAGAAGAGGTGAGCATGGCCCCGTGTGTGTGTGTGTGGGGGGGGCTGTGCAAATGGGGGCAGTGGACAGCACGTGTGTGCATATAGGTCTGTGCACAGCAGGGGTAAACTGAGTGCATTGGTTTCTGTATGTAGGTGGAGGTGATGCGTGAATGTGTGTGTGTCGGGTGCGGTGGTGAGTGTGTGTGTGAAGCATGAGTGCCGGAGTGCGCGTATGCCCATGGGAGAGGAAACCAGACTGTGAGCTGGTGTGTGTAGGTGGCGTGAATATGTGAATGTGCGTGTGTGTGTGGGTATGTACATGTAAGAAGCAGCCAGACTGTGTGGCCTTGCGCATGTGTGTCCGTGCGCCCATGCACTCCCCTGTGCGTGTGTGGGGGGGGTGTATGCAGAACCCCCTGCCCAGTGCAAAGGTTTTGTGGGGGCTCTGCTGTGCTTGGTGACCTCAGGGAGCAGGGGCTATCAGAAAGCCAGTGCCCCCTGGATGGGTCTGGGGCAGAAGGGACAGGCGTGCAGGGCTTGTGGGCACATGGGCAGGCTGGATGCTGGAGCACCAGAAGACAATCCAGGACCGGAGGGAGCACCGGGCTGGTCTGGCCTTCCCCAGGACACAGAGCTGCCCGCCTGTCCCCGCCAGGAACCCTTCCCCAGGCACTGCCCCCATGCCAACGACTCCTGCCTGCAGCACCCCGACCCCTGTGGGGCAACTGGCGCAGCCTTGGTGCTAGAGGGGATGCACGGAGCCAGGTGGACCTGGACACACAGGGGTAGCAAATCCAGACCCCCACCCCACCTGGATTAGCATGACCGCTCGGGTAGCTAGGGCTTATGAGCAGGGATCTCCTGCCCTGTGCTGCTGTCCGGTCCCCTGGGCAGCTCACTGCCCACGCTCCCCGCCAGCCAGCCCTTCACTTTGCTGCCATTGGAAGTGGGGAGCAGGGGTGAGAGGCTTGCAGGGCAGGGCCTGACCACAGGGTGCCAGCCCCCCGGGCATGGCCAAAGCACAGGTGTCTGGGAAATGGGTCCACGTCCGGACGGTAACCACGAGAGGAGAGATGCCAAGTGCCCGCTATGCGGGACTGTCCGTGTGTGCAGGGCTCTGCACAGGTACTGCCCTCCCTTCTCAGACCTGCCCGTGCCCTGCGAGTTGGCTCAGCCTCACCCCCGACGCCCTCCCTGGCTCGGGTGCGCAGACTGCCTGCAGCCAAGGCTGGCTGTGGATGGCACAGCCCATCAGCACCCCTCACCGAGGAAGGCAGGACCCAGGGGCAGGGCAGGGGTTGTGGCAGAAAGCCACCTTGGTTTCTCCCCAAAAATCTCTGCCCTGTGACACTGTGATTTAAATCTCTGTG